GTCTAACTCCTGTTCACCATGGTCACGGTCGGAGAGAAGTAAGAATATTGGGGCAGGAAGAGGCTGGAGAAACGATATGAATCACAGGAACCCTGAAGCATATTCAGCACCCTCCTCGGCAACCCCAAGGCTCGAATGAGTCTGGGAAATGGGACTCCAACACCAGGTGGAAAAGCAAATCTTTGGGGTCTCTTCAACTCACACAAAATATCTTTGCTTGGGGAAAGATCCCATGTCCAGATTTTCTCTGCTTAGTACTAGCTAAGTATTCTTTTCTCAGGTGCTTGTGTAAGATACATTGATGGATGGACAGATGGATGGTTGAATGGATAAATGGACAGGTGGACAAACAGATGGATCGAGTCCTTATAGGCTTGGTCACCGAGTCATGACCTAGAATCATATTTTGTTTTCTGAACATTCTCCAGCTCCCTTTGACTAGATTTCAGAAAGGGGTGTCAATGTGGGATATTTGCACTCAGAGCTTTACCGTGTGCCTGTTCTGTCTCCTGTTCTCTAAGAGGAGTTCTGGGGTGCACAAAGAGCTGCCTTCATTTTAAAGGTTAGAGGGACGAACCTGAGCCAGTCAGATGCAGGAATGCCAGGGATCCCTGGGGCGCAGTTCACTGCACCTCTGGGGACCAGTCGGAACAGGCTGGCCGCCAGGCCTCGGGAGGGCGCTGGCGCGCATCCGCATTGCTGCTGTTTCTTAAACAGCGTCATTCTGCCGAGAACGAACCGTCATTGTCTAATGGCTCTTGTCATTTTAGTGTCGTGATCAAACAGGAAAAATGGAAGTACTTTATGTGGAAAGAAAGATAGAATATGAAGGTATTTTTTAACCCAGAAGGCAAGCTGCCTGGAGTATAATACGGATCTATCAATAATGCAGTTAAAACTGTTTACCTGCTTTACATGCCTGGGTTCAGTTCACCGATCTTCATTCAAGTTCACACTAAAGTTATTTAACTGTGGGCTGCACATTATACCACATAGACCAAAGCATTATAGATTTTTCCAAATGTAATATACAAGTCCAAATTGATTGCAGCCAAACGTAAACTTAGTCAAGTCTTTAATATGCTCTATTAAGGCATGAATAAGACTTTAAAGCTCTGTCTCAGCTGCAGAGGAGCTGGGACTGGAGCTGAACCGGCTGCAAACAGGAAGACTAAAAACACCTTTAGATGTGATATTTATTCTCAACAATGTGTCATGTAAAATAATGAACTATTTTTTCCAAATGTAAAAGTGAGCAATTACCTGCCCTTATAAAATGACCAATTTTACAAGGATGCTGGTTTGGTCCCCCTTGCCCCCAGCAGAGGCTACCCTTGCCCACAGGCACACGCCTCTCATTGGCGGTACCTGTATGCCCAATGCTCCATTTTCCTAGAACGAAATTATCTTTCAAAGCACAGGAAGAAAGACAACAGCCATTTCCCCTGCCTCTGGTTGGGGTAAAGGAAGTATATTCCAACATCTTTGCCAGGTATTTGGCACAATTTGTGTTATTCGCAAATGACTAGGAAAGGGGTCGAATGAGCTATGCAAACTAGAAATTTGTGCTTTCATGATTATTTAGGCTTTAGATAATTTGTATTCCCCTCAGAAGGAAGGCTTTACGTGAAAGGACTGGGTAAAACGTGCCGACACCATGGCTGAGAAGGCATACTTGCATACATTTAATCCGAAATACGATCAGGATCAACTGTGGTTGCATCGATAGAAGCTGAGGATGGTAAGTACAGGCGAGGCAGGGTTTCCTTGGCTTGACGGGACTCGCTGGTATGTGGCTGGGAAGGGGGCAGTTGGGGAGTAGCAACTAGCATCTATGGCTGGTCCTAATTGAAATGTGCTGTAAGCATGGAAGCCACACGGGGTTTCAAAGACTTACTATGAAAAAAATAAAAAAAAATAAAACATCTCATAAAGAGCATCAGGTTGATTTTATGTTGAAAGTGCATGTGAAATGAACATATTTGGGGTATATTGAATTACAGAAGCTGTTGTTAAATTGATTTCCCCTGTCTCTCTTTACTTGTTGAATGTGGCTACTAGAAGTTTTGAAATTACACGAGGCTTACCTTGTATTTCTAGTGGACAGCGCCGCTCTACATCCTCTTTACTTGGTAGAATGAGGGCTCGTGTTTACTGCCTTGTGTTTTGTATGTTTGCAAACTGAAAATATGAGAAACAGACTCAAAGTACTTGTCTTGGGTTTGGAAGTTCGAGAAGCACGTGTCCTAGTTATAGAACACGGGCAACTAACTTTGAGACTCAATTTCAGCTGTAAAGTGAAGACAGTAACAATTTTGATCTTACCAGGTTATTATCAGAAGTGACGAATGCACAGGAAATTAGCAGAGAATGCTTAGCGCAGAACCTGACATGGGGAAAGCTCAATGAATATTTGGCATTAATCTTGGTTATATCTCAAGACCTGTCTGATGCCTAATCTTAAATCTCAGTCCATTTCTGACTCAGCTTGTTTCTCATTTCCCATGTTTGTATTTGGTGTTATATCTACCTACTTTTATAGCCAGAAAGCCAAGATTTTTATTCTTTTTCTTATCATTGAAGAACCTTGGGCTTGGTTCCTTGTGTTCTTATTCAGACTAAGGTAGTTCTCAGTTACTTTAGCTCATTTCGATTTCAGATCAAGAATTCTGTCCTGGTTAAAACTATAAATCAGGCCACAACTCTTCACTGGCCCCTGTCCCTTGCCTCATACCAGGATGCTGGGGCCTTGTTTTTTTTACTGAACTCAGCTGCTTTTGGTGGGATGATCAATCAATGACATTGATGTCTACAAAGGGGGCAAAGGTAACAAAGGAATAGGGTCTTATATACATATAAGGGATCACTGGCACAAAAGCAAATACAGGTCAGAAGAGCACTTTTATGACTTCTCTCCACGCCCACAGCCCTGCCTTCTTTTCTCAGTCTTTCTTCCACTGGCTTTAAAAGCTGTGCTGTGTTCAAGCTGTGGGGAAGACAAGGTGCTTCCTATCGCCTTTCCAGATCCTTCCTGCCTGAATACAACCTCCTGCAGTGTAGCATAGCACGTGTCTAAACCCTGTGCTCAAATTCCATATTCTAGGGAACAGGACCTCAGATGAAGATGGTTGTACTTGTTTTCTAAAATTCAGTGGCAGGGAAGATGGGGAAAATGGTTAAAATGTGAAGATATAGCTTCCCTAGGTAGATGAGCATCCTAGCTCCTTCACAATTAACGAGGTCATCCTTGCAATCAGAGCAGCACGAGAAAAACAAGGAGAAATGACTTAAGAACACACTTGGAATAGCACAGGTGGCTGGCAGCACCCGTGCTTCCGAAAACGGGGGGGGGAGTCCCCAATTTCCTCTGAAAGTATTTTTTTAATCAGAAAAATGTTGATTTGTGCTTCCATCAGGCAGCTGTGACTAGGTGATTCAGAATATACTCTTGACTTAAGGTGATCTTTTTTGCCTTTTCATTAGATCAATATGTAGCTTTTCCTGTTTAGTTTTTAGATTTGCTGAGTGTTCTCAGGGTAGCAAATTCAAAGGAAAGAAATAAGCAAATTGGGTTATATTTCAAGCTTGGGCTGAGATTTGACAGGAGAAGCCCCTGGAAATTAACAGGGGAGAGGAGTTCTAGGACCCTCTTTGCTGACAGCTGGATTTGCGGAGGTTTGTTATTGGGGGGCCAGCGAACACACCCAGGGCCACTCCACCACCAGGTGAGTGCATGAGGGGGGCCCACCCTGGATGTGTAAACTTGGCCATTTTTCCTGGACCATTTATTAATGAACTATTTACTGTCGGTCAGAGGCAGGAAGGAACCATTGCCAACAACTGCTTCCCTGTGGTTTCCTAGAAAATCAGAGCGTTGAAAGTGTGAATTTTCCCTTATTCTATTATTCAAATTTGGGTGAGGGAATGAAGCATTTCTGGAAATCCAAAACATGTCTGTAAGATGTCAGCTCTGCTCACTCGCATTCTGGTCTCTGGCCTATTCCCACACCTCCATCCCCTTCTGTGAGAGAAGAGAGCAAATCCTGCTGATTTCTGACCTGGCATCCCTTGGTTGTGCTTTTTTTTTGGGGGGGGGGGGTGGAGAATCACTGTAGAATAAATGTTCATGAAATTTGTGATATCAGTTGTCTGTGGCCTAATAGACTCTATCTGCCTGAGGTCACAGAAGTAGCGATGATGGGGAAGTGGGGATGCAGACACGTGGGCATGCGCACTGTGTCCATGCAGTCAGCTTCTGCTCTGTGGTGGGGCCACTGAGTCATCTCTCTTTAGAGCCTAATCATTTCCGAGCTGTTGACACTCATGTTACTGGCAGAATGTGAAGGACGTTTTATATTTTCCATTCTGTTTGGATAACTGTCTGATTTTAAAACATTTGAAAAGAAATAGAAGTGCTGTTGCAGATATTAGCATTATAACTACAGGTGTGTGAACCTAGTAAATGCATGGAAAAATCGAACACAAGACATTCTCAGTGACTGGCCAGTCTGACTTTCCTTCCCTAGAAACTGAATGCAAGATCAGGTCACTAAATATGTTCCTTTGTTACCATGTCCATTTGTCTTGAAGATATCACTGGGTCTCCTTTGCGTGGACATTCTTTAAAATGCAAATGTTTCATCTGATAGGGTATACATCTATTTTTTAAAAAAACAAAGACATAACTAGGTTAATGGACTACATAAAATGCTTTCTGGATGCACAAACAACAACGAAAACATTTTTAAAAAATTAACAGCCATTTAACAGGTATAAATAAACTGTCCAAAGCATTTAATGGACTGTAATACAGTCAACTCCCCCAGCCCTGAAACAGTGTTCAATTCTTTTCTGCTAGTGGCAACAGACGCTGTCAAACACATTGAAAACTGTGTACCATTTCCTGGCCAGGGAGCACAGAAGTGAGGGGTAAATATGTTATGGTGTTTGTTGTTGTTCTCATGCTGTATTTTTGTTTCTCCGCTCCCTTCCCGGCTCAGGGCTGATTGTTGTGACGCTGGCCATCTGCTGGATGCCTAACCAGGTTCGCAGGATCATGGCTGCTGCCAGACCCAAGCACGACTGGACGAGGTCCTACTTCCAGGCGTACATGATCCTCCTCCCTTTCTCGGACACCTTCTTCTACCTGAGCTCGGTGGTCAACCCTCTCCTGTACAACGTGTCCTCGCAGCAGTTCCGCAGGGTGTTCTGGCAGGTGCTGCGCTGCCGCCTGACCCTGCAGCACGCCAACCACGAGAGGCGGCTGCGCAGCCTGGGCGCCCCCACCACGGACAGCGCCCGCTCGGCGCGCCGCCCCCTCATCTTCCTGGCTTCCAGGCGCAGTTCCTCTGCAAGGAGAACTAACAAGGTGTTCCTAAGCACTTTTCAGAGCGAGGCCGAAGCCAAGCCCGAGTCTAAGACCCAGCCATTGAGTCCCGAGTCGCCAGAGCCCAAGTGGGAGACGAAACCGGCCAGTGGTGCAGCAGGGAATGGTTTTCAGGAGCAGGAAGTGTGAGTGCCCAGTAAGAAAGCCTTGAGGCTAACCAGCCCGCCCCGCGAAAGCAGCATTCCCCTCACACAGCAGTGACAAATGTTTCCCATCAGGGACAGGAGTGCGAGCTGGGGGCCTTGGGGAAGGCACACGCCCACTTCACTGTCTTCTAAGGGCCAATTCTGGCTACAGACAGGAACTTTGAATCCATCCCCTCCCTTTTCTTAAGTACACACTGAAAATTCAGTCAGACTGAATGTATTCAGAGCTTACAAAAATGTTTTACACTGAGCTCTTTCATTATTTGCAAAGGAACTAAAAGAAAGAATGCAGACTCCCTACCCAGAACCAAAGGACACCCAGAAGAGCTCATGGAGTGGGGCAGCAAGGGTCAGAAGAACAATGCAGGAGGGGCTGGCATCTCATTCAGCAGTGTGCCACGAAGAGGGCTAATGTGGCGAGCAGGGTGGTGGTGGGGAGCTCTGGCTGCAGGGCCAGGGCCGAGCTGCTCCTTTTCTTGGGCCGAGGGCCGTTGCACAGAGGAGTGTTACAGCAGCTGATGCACACAGAGTTCAGTTTCCCTGGGGAGCAGAAGGACTGATACCCAGCCGAGGCGATGAGGCAGGCTGCCGACGATGCACACGACTTGCGGTACATGATCCCTGCAACACAGACCCAAAGGAGCTGGGTTAACCTGCGCCGGCAATGGACAGCACACCTCTGAGCCCAGATCCCAGTGTGTCCTGCCTCCTGTCACAGCCCAGAGGGGCTTTGGGTGGTTTCACTGAGCCTCCCAAACAGAATTGTTCCAAAAGCTATTTGAGATACAATGCCATGGAATAAAAAGCTGTCAAACCAGAGTCCACTTTTTTAAGTCAGAATTCACACTGTGTACTGAATACAGAGCCTTTTCCCTTTGTTGTTCAAACTACTGCATGCCAGACAGGACCACACGCTGTGTCTAGCTCTCATCTTAGTTTATAAAGGATACACAGAGAGGGCTCTCAACTACGTATTCAATCATGGAATTTTCTGAATAAAGACCAGATCCCTACTGAAGGGGCCCTGATTTGTCCCAGGTTTGAGGAGATCCACAACAGCCCTCTTCTCAGGGAAGACGTTTTGCCCTTAGCATGTCTGGTCATTTGCCCAGTCAGCATCACACAACGAGCACTTAATATGTACCATGTGAGCACATAAAGGAGCTTCCTGAAAAGACTGGAGGGTGCATCTTGAAGAGTACATGTGTCATGTCCAAATTGCAGCATAGCGATCAAATTAGGGTTTCTTTCAAAGCTAGAAGTAAATGCAATTCCAATGATAATAGCGAAGCTTATTTAAGTGCTTTCTCATATGCAGGGACTCTTCAGAGACCCAGTGTCACAGATGATATACCTACCTACAAGGAAGGACCTCATGATCATCCCCATTTCACAGATAGAGAGCCTAAGGCAAGAGAGGGTTAGTTAACTGGTCCAAAGTCAAATCCCAGCAGAGCAGCAGGGATTTGAGCCTAGTAGTCTGGCTCCATGCTGTCAAGTCTGGATCACTGTATAGAAAGCAGATAGACAATAAACTACATAGTTTTGTTTTCTGTTTTAGGGGGGAGGCTTTACTCTGAAGATAGCTTTTAGAGGGCTCTTTTGTATCTATGATTTTTTTAATAGGTATAATTGACAGAATTATTTTTGGTCTAATAATAGATAATACTAGAGTTAGACATGGACGTGAATGGCCTTAGCCTCTCTGCTGCCCTGCACAGCTGAGGGGTACATTCCAGGAGCAGCCGGGGCGCTTCCCCCCTGACCCCTGCAGGCATGTGCTTGCAGGTGTTGCTTTGGTATGAGGCTGCCTTCTCCCCCTTGAGAATGGCTGCTTTGGGTGCTGGAGAAACAGTCAAGATTTCACCTCCTTCTTGAAAGTTCTAGGAAGTATAAGAAACACCTTAGATTTACATCAAAACATGCAGTTATGTCATTTTTGTCTATCCATGTGTGTAAGGGTTGATTTCCTAACTCCAGTAGAAAATCCTGGAAGTAGCTGCTCTGGCAAGATAATGCCCGCGGACAGAGGGTGTGTGTTGCCCATTTATAGATTCCCCATAGTCTCTACATTTCCTATCCATTGCAGGAAATTAAGTTTTGCTCACTATTTGTTTATTCTTAAATAATAAAAGCACCAACTATCATTTTCCAGTTCAACCTCAGCAAACTTTTTCCTTTAAGTGAATATATTTTTCACTGTAAAAAATGATCAGACATTCAGATAAGGCGACCACCACATTCAATCCCAGGTTCTACTCAGATGTAAGCAGTCTTATCAGTTTTGGATGCCTCCTTCCAGGCCTGTTTCTATATATTTACATACGTACCCATGAAGAAATACAGTGTGTACATGTGCGCATGCAGATGAACACACTTGTTAACATCACATCCTCTATGCTGTTCTGTAATTTGCATTTTTAGTGACATAGCTGAGGATTTATTTTTAAGCCTAACTTTTTAGGGCAGAGAATCAGTGATGAGGTAGGTTACTTATATAATTCACAAGGGGAGCCCTGGATTTTGCAATTGCCACCAGGAGACACCCCCAGATTTCCTGGCTCTGGTGGCCAGTGGGGTTTAACATTTGTGGTCCCACAGGACTGTATATATTTGCATTCTTTAAAACTATTTGAGGTTATAGCTCCTAATCAGCCTGAATCTAGGTGCTGACTGAGCTCCTCCCCTCTGAGATACTGACTGGCTGTGGAGCACCCTATACTGCCAGGAGCTATTAAAATAAAACAAGTGGCTTGGGCAATCACCAGCTTGAGAGACTGAATGATAAGGTCCATCTCCTACACAAGGTCAACCCTTCAAGATGGGAAAAGGTGGCTGGTTCATTTAATTTCTAGAGACTAACAGAGAGAGTTAAGAAAATCAAAGAAACAAAGGAATATGTTCCAAACAACACAAGATAAAATTCTGAAAATAAAACCTTAATGAGACAGAGATAAATCATTTACCCCAGAAAGAGTCCCAAGTAACGGTCATAAAAAGGCTCACTGCACTAAGGAAGAGAATCAATGAATACAAAGAGACAGATAATATAGAAAGTATCAAAGAGAAGTCACAGAAGTGATGAATATAATAACTGGACTGAGAAATATACTAGCGTTCAACAGCAGACTAGATAATGTAGTGGACTCCATCAGCTCAAAGGCAGGGACAGTAGAAATCACCTAATCAGAGTAGACAAAAGAAAAAAGAATGAAAAAAAGTGAAGATAGCTTAAAGGACAACAACAAGCAGACTAATATCATGTTATAGGAGTTCCAGAAGAGAAGAAAGAGAGGAAGAAGCAGACAATTTACTTGAACAATTACCGACTGAAAACGTCCCTAACCTAGGGAAGGAGACAGACATACAGATCCAGGAAGCCCAGAGAGTTCTAAATAAGAAGAGCTCAAAGAGACACATACCAAGGTATATTACAATTATAATATTAAAAGTCGAAGACAAGAGGAGAAGCTCAAAAGCAGAAAGAGAAAAATGTGTTATGTACAAGGGAACCCCCATGAGATTATCAGATGTTTCAACAGAAACTTTCCAGGCCAGAAGGGAGGGGCATGATATCGTCACAGTGCTAAAAGAAAACAACAACAGAAACCCACTAACCAAGAAAACCCTACCTGGCAAAGTTACTATTCAGAACTAAAAGAGTGATAAAAATTTTTTTAAAAGAGTTTTTTTGGACAAAAGTTAAAGGGATTCATCACTACTAAACCAGAATTACAAGAAATGTTAAATGTAATTCTTTAAGCTGAAAAAAAGGATGCTTGTTAGTAACAAGAAAACATGTGAAGGTATAAATTTGATGTAAATATATAGTAAAGTGAACGAATTAAAAAAAAAACACAAAAAACGGTAGCCCTGGCCTGTTTGAGTCAGTGGTTAGAGCATTGGCCCGCAGACCAGAGAGTCCCGGGTTCGGTTCCCACCAAGGGCACATACCTTGGTTACAGTTTGTCCCCAGCCTTGGTTGGGGTCGTGTGGGTGGCAACCACTCAATGTGTGTCTCTCACATCAATGTCTCTCTCTCACATCAATGTCTCTCTCTCTCCCTCCCACTCTACCTCCCACTCTATCTCAAGATAAATGGGGGGGGGGGGATACTTTGAAAGTTAAAAGATATGTAGTAAAAATAACTACAATAATTAGCTAAGGCATACACAAGATAAAAATATATTAAATGTGACAATAAAAACAAAATGCTGGGGGGGAGAATAAAAATCCAAAGCTTTAGGATGCATTCACACTTAAGTTGTGATCAACATATAAGTTGTTATATGTAAGCCTCACATTAACCACAGAGCAAAAACCTATAGTAGATACATAAAAAATAATGAGAAAGGAATCAAAACATACCATTAAAGAAAGTCATCAAACCACAAAGGAAGAGAGCAAGAAAATAAGAATGGGCCAGAGGAACTACAAAACAGACAGAAAATAATTAATAAAATGTCAATAAGTACATACCTATCAATAATATTACTTTAGCCCTGGCCAGTTTGGCTCAGCGGTTAGAGCGTCGGCCTGCGGTCCTGAGAGACCCGGGTTCGGTTCCCGCTAAGGGCACGTACCTCGGTTGCAGTTTGTCCCCGGCCCTGGTCGGTTGTGTGGGTGGCAGCCACTTGATGTGTTCCTTTCACATCGAAGTTTCTCTCTCTCTCTCTCTGTTCCTCTCTCTCCCTCCCACTCTACCTGAACAAAAAATGAAAAAATGTCCTCGGGTGAGGATAAAATAATAATAATAATAATAATAATAATAATAATAATAATTACTTTAAATGTAAATGGACTAAATACTTCAATCAAGACAGAGTGGCTAAATGGATTTAAAAACCAAAACACAAGACCCATCCATATGCTGCCTACAAGAGGCTCACTTCAGATATAAGGACACACACAGATTATGAAGGGGTGGGAACATATTCCATGCAAATGGAAGCCAAAATAAAGCCAGGGTAGCTATACTTATGTCAGACAAAATGGACATAAGACTGTAATAAAGACAAAGATTATGTGTCATTAGATAATGGTAAAGGGTCAATCCAACAAGAGAAGATAACATTTGCAAATATTTACGCACCCAACATATAAGCAGGTAAATATATAAAGCAAATATTAACAAAGCAAAAGGGAGAAATAGACAGCAATACAATAACAATAGGGGACTTTAATACCACTTACATCAATGGATAGATCATCCAGACAGAAAATCAATAAGGAAACATTGACCTTAAAAGCCATGTTAGACAAGATGAACTTAACGGATATATATAAACATTCCATAGTAAAGTAACAGAATACACATTTTTCTCAAGTGCATATGCATCATTCTTCAGAATAGATCATATTTTAGGACATAAAATGAATCTTAAAAAATGTTAGAAGACTGAAATCATATTAAACATGTTTTTTGACCAAATGGTACAAAACTGGAAATCAGTTACAAGAAGAAAATTGGAAAATTCACAAATAAGTGGACATTAAACAATATGCTACTGAACAACCAATAGGTCAAAAAAGAAGAAAAAAAAAATACCTTGACACAAGTGAAAGTGAGACAACATACCCTAACTTCAGGGCTGCAACAAAAGCAGTTCTTAGAGGGAAGT